CAGGAGTCGAACCTAGATCTTCCCGATTACATGCCAGATGCTCTAATAGCTCTTTACGGGTTTCGAGAACGATATATAATATATTTAAATTTATGCGATGAGTTTTCAAAAATGTACTAAAATTCTCTGCATATTTTAGCAGCAAAAGTTTATAAAATTATTAAAAAAAAAAATTATAAAATAAAAGCGAAGATATTACTTTGGTAACATCGAAGCTTAACACATTCAATCGGTTCAATGTCATCAGAAAAAATTCCGAAAAAGTGTGTAGTCATCGAAACCCTCGAATCGGCAAAACTAAAAGACCCTTTCTTAGAAAAATTTTTTCCCTACTTTCGAAGTAAAGCTTGTGAAGGATTTCTCATAAAAACTTTTTATCCCTTAACCACAACCGAATTAATCAAATATATCCCTTGTAATTAAATTTCCAGGATTTATTCGTCTAACCAAATTTAAAATCTAATCAAGGATTATAATCCGGGCTTGAACTTTCCGATAGACAATAATCTATAGAGAGGATTATAAGTGTAACGAAGGATTACGACAATAATTAGTCAGATATCCGACTCAGGAAAACGCGAAACTTAAATCTCTTAAGGAATACATCAACCTGGTGGAATAGAGCTGTCTAATTGGCAGACAGATGTATACCCATATTACATTCGCGGATAACATTAGTAAGTGCAGCACAAACTGTCTTAAGTCCCAAGTATCCGTGTACCACAGTGATGCAGCATATATACCTTGAGTATACAATACACAGATACTCAAACTTGATAAAGCCTGAAGGATAAGAGAAGTTTGTGGAGATGTTTTGAGGATATTATGTATACCAAGAGCGGCGCCAGAGGAGAGTGCCTGGGTACTGATAACAATACCGTTTAATAACTCTTTAATCATAAACAAAATCCGGCATTCAAAATATTTTAATTAAAATCATCACTTTAAAGTCCGTCACTACAGTTGACATTTAAAACTCACACCAACCAACTCGTTCTAAATTATAAACTTTGCAATTTATACACTGATAGAAGGATTTGTTTATATTTAATAAGCTTTATTAACTGTTAATAAATGATTTTTTAACATGATAAGATTTAATAAATATTTATTAACAGTTTATAAATTATTTATTAAATACGATTTATTAAATGTTAATAAATATATATTAATAGTTAATAAGTAATTTATTAACTATTAATAAATATTTAATAATGGTTAATGAATATTTGTTAACTGTTAACAAATATTCATTTAAAATAAAAAGCAAAAATGGCAATTTTTTTTTTGACACTTTTTATATCCCGATAGTTGGAAAACATGATAATAATTCAATTTACTAAATAAATTAACGTTTTTAATATTTAAAAATATAAAATATAATTATGGGCTGCGATAGAATTTGGTATTTTACGATAAACGTTATTGTAATGTAATATAATTTATGCAAATAATTTATAAAGATGACTTTTGTTTATAAGCAATCTTTATATCATATGACATTGCAAGCCAAACAAATTCACTCAACAAAATATTTATTAACTGTTAATAAATATTTGTTCACTATCAATAAATATTTATTGAATGTTAAAAAATATTTATTATAATTTAATAAATTAAATAATTATCTTCAAATAAATTAAATTATTAATAGTTATAATAAATCCTTCTATCAGTGTTCTTGTACTGGAGTACTTCAGGTTATGGGCCAGCGCCAGTCAGTTTATAGTTAGTTATATGTGACTTTTGGTCTCTTAGGATTTTTTATTCTTCTTTCGCTGGTTTTTCATGGCCATTCATACCGATCTATGTATACATATATACATAAGGGAATAGGAAAGATCACATAGACATAATATAACAGAGTAACTGTTGCTTCTGATGGTGGTAGGTCACTCGTTTTGGTCTTGGATGGCGACCATCATCGTATTCCATTCCATTCATAAAATAAAATTATACCGTGAATGGGATGTGGCTTATTCGTGGAATCACAATACAACACAAGTGAAAACTCGACAAACGACCAACTGATGTTTTGTATGAAGCGCTAAATATATTTTCACTTTTTCAATCCCTGTAACTGAGGACTGAGAGGATAATGCACAAAAAAGGAGAGGAAAGAATTAAGTATGTGCGTGAATTATACTTTTAAAAAGATATTCTTGGATATGCGGCAGGTATTCTATAATAATATGTATTAAGAAAATTCTTGGATTACTGTTGTTGCGGTCGGTTTCTGTTTGATTCGTCACGTCTTTTCAATCATTCGGTATCGATGTTTAAATGACATTTAGTTTCAAGTAGCTGAAGATCAGCCAAATACACTCGGGAATTCTTTTCAGGATTACAAGATCAGGTGGAGTCTTTAAGTTAACAAAACCTTCAAGTATAAATACCCGGGTATTTACTTTTTATTACTCACACTCATAGATTTATGCAATGTATATTATAATGAACATTATTAAAAGTACACTGATAGAAGAATTTATTAACTATTAATAATTTAATTTATTTGAAGACAATTATTTAATTTATTAATAGTTAATAAATATTTTGTTGAGTGAATTTGTTTGGCTTGCAATGTCATATGATATAAAGATTGCTTATAAACAAAAGTCATCTTTATAAATTATTTGCATTAATTATATTACATTATAAGAACGTTTATTGTAAAATACCAAATTCTATCACAGCTCATAATTATCTTTTATATTTTTAAATATTAAAAACCTTAATTTATTTAGTGAATTGAATTATTATCATGTATTCCAACTATCGGGTTATAAAAAGTCTCAAAAGAAAATTTTTATTTTTGCTTTTTATTTTAAATAAATATTTGTTAACAGTTAACAAATATTCATTAACATTTAATAAATCGTATTTAATAAATAATTTATTTAACTGTTAATAAATATTCATTAAATCCTATGATGTTAAAAAATCATTTATTAACAGTTAATAAAGCTTATTAAATATAAACAAATCCTTCTATCAGTGTATTTATAGTCAGTAATAAATAACAGAAGAAAGAAAAGGAGCAAAAGTGGGAAATGGTGCCTCCAAGTCTGGCCAGAAAATCTTATAGTAAAAGACACTGTAGTATATATAGTATCCAGTAGGTACTATATACTATAAAGAATGAAAAAAGTTAAAATACCGCCTGCTAGGTATTTTGCGACACAATGGCACACTTGTGTCCCATCGAAGTGTCGAGAGTCTCTTCGGCATTGTCGGTCGCTCTTCTTTAACGCCATTAACAACGTTTTACCTTAAATTTGACCGACGTGAGGGGGCCCTCTTGACAAATTTAGGGAATCTAAATGCTGCTTTTCCAATCGCTTGACAAACATAATACACAAATTTAAAAATTTAAAAACCGTGAGAGAAAACCCGTACTACAATATAATAAAATATATATAATATACAATATAATACAATTCCGGTGACTTGTTCAGCAGCTTCTTGGCTTGAGGACAAACCCAAACTCAATGGAATCGTGTTATGTTGGATGTGACACCAACTTTTTAAATCTTTTTGTATATATACTTATTTGTCAAGTTCTTGGAAAAGAAAAATCTTTTGCAAAGACCTAGACTATGTGTGTTTATAATACAGAAGCCAGTTTTCTACCGTGAACGTGTGAATGAAAAACAATTGCTTTTTATTTTCTGCTTTCTGCTGGAGTATAAACTCGAGAACTATAATATAGACGGCGTTTTACACTCAGAATGTTATCAAAAACTTCCGACGGAATGGTTTTGATATCACATTTATATGCGCGAATAAATATATTTATTTTTAATAAAAGTATTTTGTGAAAGAAAACGGTCAATTAAAACTTTATAAATATTTAATGCAGCCGTTTGAATTCTAAAGAACTATTAATATGGGTAATGTTATATTTTGCATGATATCTTTTGTATTATAAGATACTAGCTGTTACTCCCTCGCTCCGCTGAGCGCTTTATAGAATTGCATTTTTAGATCTAAGACTTGAAATTTAATTAGAGTATTGTTTTGACTTGCACAGATTCTCAATTCTGTCGAATTGGCATGCACCTTTTATCCATGTAATTATTCTAGCTAATATTCATTGTACTTTTCAATGTGCAATTATTATAACATTCCCGTGTCTTTCTTACAAAAATTAATAATAATTGATATGAAAAAAAAATTTGTAATGAGCATTGAAAGTTTCAGTTAAAGAAATTACAGGTCTCATTAGTGAAGAAATCTGCCTAGTATATAAACATAACCAATAGAATTAAAAAATTTATTTTAAACAAATGACAATCGAATAAAATAAATTTAGTTGCAATAAAAATTCATTATTTCTAAGTAAAAAAAATATAGGTTTGGGATAAGTAATCACCAACATATCATATACTAAAACCTTCTCCAAAAACACGCTACATTTTATGTAGTTTTCGCAGTATAACCATACAACAAAACCGGCTCTCCATTTATCACTATAGATTTAACCCACATTCTGCTGTTGAGGTACTTTAAAAAATAATATACTAAAATGTACATACGAAAAACTATTTCTGAAAATAAATATTTAATACAATAAAACAAAGTTTATTGATATAAAAATTTTTTCATAAGCTACAAATTCTTGGTAAAGTAAAACACGGGTGATTTCAAACCATGCAAACTTTAAAAATATCAAAAATTTTCATGCATCTCTCGTATAAGTATGTGAGATATTTATTCATTAGATTTATATGCTACAAGATAGAGTGAGTAGAATATTAAATAATAAAAAAGTACAAGTTATTTCTTGATTCGTTTTAAAATAATATTTATTTTTTATGAACATTAATTTCATTATTATATAAATGTATAAACGTTATTTAATTAGAAAATTGCAAATGTACAATGTTTATAAAAAATATTTACAATATTTACATAAATTTATCAAAAATCTTTACAAAATTAATTTAATCAATAAACTCTAGTCTTTCGAAGTACTCTCTAAAAAATTTTTTCAAAATTTTCTACGAATTCACAATGCTCTCAACGGTGTATTTAGTGTGAGTATTAGTTCTCACAATAATCGGCCCCTCTTTAAGAGAAGTCATATACGGATCAACGGACATCATTCTCTTTTTCACTATTTCCGAATCTTGAAAAGCGTCATAACTACGTTTCCGACTTTCAGAACCAATCACATCACAAACGTTAATATTTTCTCGGCGACCCCGATCCTGGTAATCAAAGAACCCAGGAAACCTCGAGTAGTCATTAGAAGTTCTAAGATCTTGAACAATGTCAGAGGATGACTCTTTGCATTCCTCTTTAATACCTTGTTTGTCATTCTCGGGTGTTGAAGCTCGTATCTTGTCCTCACAGCCTTTATCTTTATCCTCTTCAGAAAGTTCCTCCTCAACAGAAGCAGGTGTGCTGCACTTTTTGTCATCGCAGTCCTCTTTTTTCTTTCCACAGGTCCTCAGGCAGCAGCACTTGGCACTTTGACCTGCAGGGAGATCTTCTTTCTTGTACTTGACCCGACGGTTTTGAAACCAGATTTTCACTTGCTTTTCGGATAAGCGTAAGTTTTTCGCGATTTCTATCCTGCGAAGACGAGATAAGTACATATTGGCTGCGAATTCGCGCTCCAGTTCTAGAAGCTGGGTGCTGGTAAATGCAGTGCGAATCCTTTTTGAGCTGTTGCTCAATGAATTCGGTGATTTCGGCGGTGGGGTTGGAGTAGTGCTACGTGTTGGTGATTCGTTAGCTCCTGAAAAGTCTATAAGTCAAAAAAAAGTAGACAATTAATACCAAAGATCAAATTTTTTTTTTTTTTTTTTTTTTTTTTAAATAATAATTTATTTATTTTAATGTTATAATTAATAAATCTTCAAAATTTGAACCAAAGCCCCATGAAAAAAAAATATATAAAAAAATATATGTCGAAAACTATAAAAAATATGTATAGTAAATATATTTTTAATAACTAACTTTTGGCCGATTTTCATACATATTTTAGATATATTTAAGATATATCATAAAATACATAAAAAATACATAGTTAAAAATATAAAAAAATTATATTTTGAATATATCTAAAATATGTATGAAAGCCGATTTTCATACATATTTTAGATATATTTAAGATATATCATAAAATACATAAAAAATACATAGTTAAAAATATAAAAAAATTATATTTTGAATATATCTAAAATATGTATGAAAATCGGCCAAAAGTTAGTTATTAAAAATAAATTTGCTATATATAGTTTATAGATATATTTATATATTTTTTATAGATTTTTAATATATATTTTATGTATTTCAACATATATTTTTTTTTCATAAGGGAAAGTTGAAATAAGAACGGTTGTTTTTAAAAGTAAGTTAATAATTACCTGATAAGCGACTTGCTGAAGAATTAAGAGGCGATGGAGGGCTCTGCCTACTAAGAGGCATTCCCATTATTGCAGGAGGACTCAGTGGAACAGGGCCAGGCAAAGTCGGGGGTCTTGGAACCGGCCTAACTGGCTGATATCCCAGTCCAAAATTGAAGAAATTGAACATGTAGTTTGGCAACTGACTTCCGTAATACGGAAGTGAGTAACTTGGCGGTGAATTGTCGCCAATAAGCGAATCCACCAAAAAACTTCGCGACATTTTTGGTTTAAGTATAAAAACAAAAAATCACTGAAGCACAAACACTTAATCCAATTAGTGAGTGACGGAAAATACGGATTTTTTAAAAGCAAATTCACTACTCTAAGTTTGAGCTTGTTGTGAGATGGGCAGGTTTGGTGGTTCTATTTAAAAGCTAGTGACTCCACCCAGGGGTTGGTTTTAATTTGGGGGCCCTTTGTCCCCCGTGCTCCGCCCTTCGTTCAGATTTTTTCGACAGGGCACACAAGTAGTTTCTCTTCATCTATTCCCTATTCTACTACGTCCCTTCCCCTAGCAGAGGGCTCGTCTCTCAAGGGACGGCTGGCAATGATCCGTAGCATTTTCCAGCGTGCTAATTCCAACCAATCTTGTTCTCTGCTCGTGCCTTCTAAGGCATCATGACCTATCGGGTTTTTGGAGTGGGATGACCAACTATACACTGAATAGATCGATTGATCTTGGCGCACGCTTTTAAGGTTTTTCTCATTAAGTGATGCCTAATGCTTTAACCAGACTATGTTATCTACCTAATGCACATCTGATCTATAAATAACAATTTGTGGTGAGTCCTAGGGCATGTGTTTTTATTTATTTATTTTATTTATTTAAATAGTTTTTGGGATGATGCATTATTTATTTTTCATTTAGGTGAACGTGTCTTAAGTGCCTACGTGATGGAAGCTTGACGTAAATTATCAAGGATAAACGGATTTAACAAGACCCAGAAATCTGATGCTCTTCACTAAGGAGTTTATGCAATATTCAAGAGTTTACTGAAGTTATCAAGCAAAAAGCAAGGGATAAAAGAGATGTCTGCTTTTATTACCGGACATTTTTTATTCATTGAACTTCTATCAAGCTTTCGCGTCTGGAGAATTTTATTGCTCGTTTTAATCAAATATAAATTATTGTTCAACAATATGGTACTAAAAAATATAACGTAAATTTTAAATGAAAAATTTCTTTTTTTTTTGTGATTATTCTAAAACAATATTATTATTAATTGCTCTTACACTTTTTAACATTAAACATTTCCCCACCGAAAAGGATTATTTCCGCCGCTTGTCTATTTTACATGCGAATTAATGTTAAAAAATGACTTGGTATCTCAGAATATTAAGATTAATAGTTCAGATATTTATTTCAGGGTTTTAAATTAAATTTTATTTTCCGCTAAAACGTCTGTTATCATCTCTAGTAAATTTGTATGTGTTAATTCAATTTAACACGTTGCACTGCTGTAATGTATATTTATATATGAGACTTGTATAACTACATGGGAGTTGTAATTAAGCAAAAGCTGCGTTATCCGGAAAAGCTGACGAAGATATGCGGAAGTGTTTTAGACGAAACAGCGGAAAGCATTGCTATCATATGTTTATTTTTGTTATGAAATTAAACCCTGCGTTTACAGCGATCTTGTACCGTCTGATAATGAATGATAATGTTACAGTATAATGTAGAATAAATCACGCTGAGTAAAGAAGAGGTAAGGTGAAAAATGAAAAGTTTACGCGAAAAAAAAAATAAATTCAGTCTCAAGTCTTAAGAGGTTTGAAAAATGACAGTAATCAACTTTCCTGAATAACTTAAACTATTTTTTAAGTCACGCTCAATTGAATTTTATTACCAACATATTATTCAAATATCGGGTAATTTATTTAATGGTTGGTTTTTTTTTAATAAAACGAAAAAAATAACACCACTAATACCTACAAATTTACAACTATTTAATTTGCATTAAGGGTCGTCAAAAGCAACCCCTCTTATTTTATAATACTTCCTTGAACTTTTATCTTGATGAATATATTATATAAATAAGCACGCTTCATTCGTTACATTAATCATTAATGAATTATTTTAATATCTTTCAAATTATTATCGTTGTGATAAATTTAAAAAAAAAAAATTTTTTTTCATACTGAATTTATTATGATAAGGAAGTATTTAGGCTACATTTGAAAATGCTCTATTTCTAGATACATAATTAAGAAATGACCTTGTATCTCGTGAACTATTGACATTTTTAAAGATATAAGCTCACCCCGACATTACATTCATCGAGACCTTTCATTTGAGTACCCACATAATTTTTTCATATATTTATATATATTATGTATATGTATATATGAAAAATATATCAAAAATGCATGTGGGTACTCAAATGAAAGCTCTTGATGAGTGTAACATCGGGATGAGCTTATATCTTCAAAATATATATTATATATATATAT